ACCACACCACAACTTGATTCTCAACTCCAATAATTTTGAATCACAACCTCGTTGATCAATAATGATTTTCTACACGCTCAGGAAACCTAAAAAGAAGAAGGAAGATTTCAAAATCTTAGAGTTCCTCTACCTAATTTATCTCTTTAGGAATCTCGAGAATGAATTTATGAAGTTTAATTCTCAAAATAAATCTTATATACTTTTCCACCAGGGTCAAATCAAATTTTTATTTAGAGAAATCATTTAAAACACCTAAAGACTCCTCAAGAATTTATTAACACCCATAATTCCTCAACGATACATCTCAAAACACCACACCACATAATAAAAAAATGGTAATAATTAACAAAAAGTTCAATGTTACATAAATAATTATGATATAATAGGATTCTAATAAATAAATAGGTTAATTTTTACTTTTAATCTCTCTCTATTTTTATTAATATATAATTTTGGTCCTTATATTTTAAAATAAGTATATTTAGTCCCTTTATTTATAAAAATATCAAATTTTAATCCTATTATAAAAATATGTAATTTTTTTTACGTTATTCAAAGATTATTACCACTCAAATGATATAAGATTTAGTGATGTGACATATAGAGATACAAAATAAAAATAACATACAAAAAATATTATTTGGATATATTTTAACAAATGAATAATATTTATTTTATCAATAAATTTTATTTATAAATTCATATTAATAAATGTTATATCACTTAATTATTAACAAATGTTGACATGTAATGATTGAAAGATGTTAATTTGACGAGTAGACAAAATTTCTATATTTTTAAAATTAGATGGACTAAATGTAGGCATGACAATCTAACCTGCCCCGTGGGTACTTGCCCGAACTCGCCCCGATTTGGACGGGGAAAACCCGTGTTTATCGGGTTCGGGTTTTCCCGATTGATAAAATCGGGAATGGGGCCGGGAAGGGAATGTTAATACTCCCGCCCCCATCCCTGCCCTGCTTAATAATATAATTAAAATATATATATATATATATATATATATATATA